AATAAATAAATAAATAAATAAAATACTCCCAAACCTCGGCTGCATCAAAGTTGCAGAAAAATCTGTTTTCAGCAGGATGGAGAAAATCAATGCCTTACAGATTTTTTAATTTAAATTGTTTTTTTAAAAAATTGTATTGCTAAAATCTTTTAATTTTTAAAAATAATTAAATAATTTAATTTCAAATGTGTCATAGCTCAACAATTTCACTATGAAATAGGGATTATAAATTATAATATTACTTCATGACACAATATCTATATACAGGGCTTGAAAAATGAACTTGTCCACTCGTCTGTGACGAGTGGAAAAAAATGCTGCTTGACGAGCCACAGCTCCCTGCCTCCTTACCCTCCATCTCTCTTTTTTTCTCTCTGAGCCTGCAGTACTCTCCTCCTATTGCAAAAGAAAAACAGCCCTCTTCTCTTGAGAGTTTGAGCGGCACATAGATATACATATAGCTCTACGGGAGAATGTAGAGTAGCCCCATGCTAGAGAATATGGAGATTCCCTGCTCTGAACTTCAACTGAATGAAAACACATCCTGGCGTGGAAGGGAACCGTGGCTCCTTAGGAGGCCGGGTGCTTTTGCTTTCAGTTTTATATTGTTGGAGACATTCAAAAGAAAGGCATTCAAAATACAAGCTTCATGACCTCACAGGCATGCAGGTAATAACATAACCCAAGTATATTTATTTTGGGTTTGTACACATTGTTATGTAGAAATAAAAGTGCCTAGTTTAAATTTAAAATAAATTGCAAGGCTATAGTCCGGTCATACTGATTGGTGAGACATTCTAAAATTTTTCAAGCCCTGTCTATATAAAAACTCCAGATGGCCCAACAGTTTTCAAATTAAGGCCCTGTGTTTATGCATTTCTACTGGTTGCTGTACAGATTAATCAATGTACAGTGGTGCCTCGCTTAGCGACGTTAATCTGTTCCAGGAAAAACATCGCTAAGGGATTTTGTTGCTAAACAGTTTAAGACACTTTTACAGGAGTGAAAAGGGGCATCGGAAAGAGCTCTTTGATCTCCATTTCCCTTTTAAAGCTCTTTCCGATGTCTCTTTTCACTCATTTAAAAGTGCCTTAAACTGCTTGACGCCTGTTTTAAATGCTTGCAATGGTTAGCCCACCTCCTGAAACCTATGCAAACTTATTTTGGTGTTGTTCTGACACTTCGTTAATTTGTGGCGATTTTTTGTTTTTCATTGTGTTTTTTTGCATTTCAATGAGGGGGAAAACAAAAAATCACCACAAATTAACGAAGTGTCAGAACAACACCAAAATAAGTTTGCATAGGTTTCAGGAGGTGGGCTAACCATTGCAAGCATTTAAAACAGGCTCCAAACATTGTAAGACACTTTTACAGGAGTGAAAAAGGACTTCACAAAGCCACTGAAATGCATTGAGTCGGCTTCAATGCATTTCCATTGGGGAACCGGGGTTCACTCAACTATGTTTCCTATGGGGATTTTCGCTCAAGGACGGCAATCGGTTCCAACTGGAATGGATTAACCGGTTTTCAATGCATTCCTATGGGAAATGGTGTTTCACAGAACGATGTTTCACACAACGTTGATTTTTTTTGAACCAATTAACATCGTTGTGCGAGGCACCACTGTATCTAGATGTTAAAATGTTTAACTGTATTTTCAAAACAAAATTGAAAAACCCAGATGCTCATTAAATTTCACCTGAAATCTTAACACAGCTCCATGCATACAATGGGGATAACAACAGCAGTTACATGCGCTCCACAGTCACCTCTAATCAGCAGCACTTTACGCTGATGAGGACATCTTGTGTGTGCTAAGCTGTGCAACAAGATTTCAGCCACTGTGTTTATTGTCAAATAAAAATCTACCACACCGTGTTGATTTAGTTAAAGAAACCCATTTCAGTGTCTGGAGATATCAACTGGTTTGAATAAAAATAACTTAATAAAATCTTCTGAATTTTCATGGTTTACCTGTTCAACTGGAGATTGTTCTGTTAACTTCATAAATACAGATTACACTGAGCTTTTGGTAACTAAAATAATTGTTCATTTTCTAATATGATTTCAAAACTGATCTTAAAAATGTATTTCAGAATAAATTAATTTTTCAAATGTATAAGGGTCCTCTGGGAAAAAACGTTTATTTTTGAGCAGTATGAAATTTACATGTGTAATTTAAGGTTGCAGCAATGATGAGTGAACTGTGGGGAAGAAGCTCATTATTAAATTAAACTAGTCTTTCTGAGTAGTAATTTAAATCATATTTTTCATTAGTTTGATTTAAATCAAATCCACCCTGGTTTTCAGTGTCCCAAAACTTAGTTTGTACTTGTTCAGGTTTTTATATATTTAAACCTTGAAGAAGAGGAAGCTGTAAAATCTGAACAATGTAATGTAAAAAACAAAGGGGTTTTCTTGATAGAACATATTGGCTGAAATAGTGTTATTTATTGTAGTAAGCCAAAATAGGTGTACTAATGGAATAGCCCTGCTAAATCAATGGAACTTATGGAGTTGTCTCACCAAACCGCACTGATTCAATTGGCTTTCTCTAGCTGTGACTTACTAGGTATGCCAAGCTCTACAGCATTTCACCTTAAATGTTGATGCATTTGTGTGGTGATTACTGAAACAAAGGAAAGGCTAATTGCCTTGGAGAGAGAGAACAAAAGGAGTCGACAACAATTGTTCAAACCAGTGGAGCCTCAAGGCAACGCCCCAAGGGTTCTGTTTATTGACTTAGCATGACTACACAATATGTTTATGAGAGAAACAGATAGGATAGTGGTTACCTAATCATTAACTAAGATTGGCTAAAATAACTTTTTGGTCTTATACTCTATCTCTTAAGCGGAAGGGCAGAAGAAGAGCCTACCCCTCCTCTTGGCCGCTGCAAGTCTATTTAATTTAAATAGGCATTCTTCAGTCTCGTGAAAGACTATAGTACAATGTGCTCTGAATAGAGGTCTTAATGTGGCTGAGAAGGCCAATTCAAGAGTGACAGTCTATTCCACATTGAAGACAAATACAATCCGTCCCCTGTCCAGCTCCCTGATTTTGCTGCTTCCGGGACTGCCTCTTTGCCTCAGCCTGCTGGACAAGGGTCTCTTCAAATTGGGAGAGGCCATGATGTACTACCTGCCTCCAGGATGAACACTCCGATGTCAGGGTTTCCCATCTGTTGAGGTCCATTCCTAAGGCCTTCAGATCCCACTTGCAGATATCCTTGTATCGCAGCTGTGGTCTCCCTCTGGGACGATTTCCCTGCACTAATTCGCCATACAGGATCTTTTGGAACCCGACCATCAGCCATTCTCACAAGATGCCCAAGCCAATATAGACGTCGCTGTTTCAGTAATGTATACAGTACATGCTAAAAATTCCAGCTCCTTCTAGGACTACTGTACTTGGCACTTTGTCCTGCCAGGTGTTACCAAAAATACATTGGAGACAACACATATGGAACGTGTTCAGCTTCCTCTCATGCAGTGCACAAAGGGTCCAGGACTCACTGCAGTACAGGAGTGTGCTCAGGACACAGGCTCTGTAGACCTGGATCTTGTTATATGTCGTCAGCTTCTTATTGAGCCATACTCTCTTTGTGAGTCTAGAGAACATGGTAGCTGCTTTGCCAATGTGTTTATCCAGCGTGACATCTAGGGAGAGAGTGTCGGAGATCATTGAGCAAAGTCATGAACAACCTCCAATTCTTGTGTGGAGATGGTAATAGAGGGAGGTGAGTCCACGCCCTGGCCCATGACTTGTGCTTTCGTCAGGCTGATTGTTTGTCCAAAATCTTGGTTACTAAAACATTTCATAAGTTGTTGGAGCTCTTCAGAAGAATGGGTAACAACAGCTGCATCATCGGTGAAGAGAAGGTCCTGTATGCATTTCAGCTGGACTTTGGTCTTCACTCTCAATCTAGAGAGATTAAAGAGCTTTCCATCTGATCTAGCCCAGAGATAGAAACCTTCTGTTGCAGTTCCAAAGGCATGCTTCAGCCTGACAGCAAGAAAGATCCCAAACAGAGTTGGCGCAAGGACACAGCCCTGTTTCACTCTGCTTCAGATGTCAAAGGGATCTGAGGTTAAGCTGTCAAAAACTACAGTGCCCTTCATTTCCTCATGAAAGGACCTGATGATGTTAAGGAGTGGATTGGACATCCAATCTTTGGAAGTATTTTTAAAAGGCCATCCCGGCTGACCAAATCAAAGGCCTTTGTAAGATCTATGAAGGCCACAAAGAGTGGCTGTTGTTCCCTACATTTCTCCTGCAACTGTCTGAGGGAAAATACCATGCCAATGGTGGATCTATTAGTTTGAAATCCACACTGTGATTCTGGATAGACTCTGCCTGCAAGCACTTGGAGTCTCTTCAGCACAACATTTAAGCAAGTAAACACACACAATATCATCATCCAGTTTCTCTTGTTCTTTGCAGGATATATATCACTATTTAGTTCAGGAGGATTGTGTCTGAATCCAGATGTAAATACTTCACGGATTGTCTGTAAAAAGTTTATTACGTCATTATTTTTTATAATGATTTCTATATTGCCATTAACGCAAACACTTGCATGGTGGCTTGCAAGTAAAATCAAAATTAATACAACCACAGTGGAGAGAAAAATCAAGCCAAACTATGATATCAGCATTCCTCTGATGGAGAAGTTTGCAGTGTTTCAGCATTTGATAACAATTCATTGGACTTCAGAATATATAGCAAATGACATACACAGGTCAATTTTTTAAAAACATGACTTGAATAAATCTCTTCAAGCAAGTGGCCAGGGGTGCATATTACTCTTACGATCTTTCACAAGGGTATGCCAACAAAAGTCAGTGTGCAAGATGTTTTGTGACTAAGGCATATAAATGACAAGCTGATCTATTACATAATATCATTTACTCCTGTGTCTCAGCTGCCAACCAAGGGCCAACACAGATATGGTGATGATTACTAAATGCGTGAACTATAAGTAATTAGCTATTACTACAGAAAGAACAGCACAATCCAGAATGTAATTGTGGGGAGGATTATGAATATTTTGCTTTCTTTCTCTCCATGTTTATCCACTGTTTGTGGCGACAGAAGGGTTCTATTAAATGGTAGCTCTCCTTCCAGTGTAAATATTAGCCCCGGGGAGGGAAGAGTATTTAAAATGAGACTGCAGTGAAGAAGAAAATGTTACAAACCCTCCCCTCAAACCATATTCCCAGTCTGGACCAAAATTCCAATATTTCTCCCCTTCATTTCCCACAATCTGTAAATGTAAGGGTTACAGCGCATGTTTTGGTCCCATAGTAGACTGTAAAAGCACATTATGTTTAAGCATGTCTAATGATAGGTGGAGACCTTATGTGAACAAGAAAGTACTTTTTCAGTGGTGGATCAGTCAAACACTTCTGCCCATTTCCCAACTCCCAAACCACCCTATGTATTTCAAACAAATGCTTACAAGGCCAAGAATGAAATCTTGGGTTTCTCAGGTTGAAACTCTACTTTTATCCACAATCTGTGTCCGAAGAGACTTTATACACATTCACAAACACACATTGGGAACCAAGCAAAGATGTGGCCAACACAAAAACATACCCAAACCTCCTGAAAAACTTGTCCAGTCATACTGTTTTAATACTATATTGTATATGTGACTATAATGTTAATTTCTCAGTCGTAGAAGTCATCAAAGTCCTCTTCGTGTGAAGATTGCACTTGAGGACGCAGAGCTGCTTCAATATCAGAGTTGCTGTCATCGGAATCACCCCAGAAGGCTGGATAAAGAAAAAGGGTCAGAAAAAGATTTTAAAAGATTTATTTTATAAATAACAAATAACTGATATTTAAATATTCGTAATTTCTAACTATATGATTCCCCCATGAACAAAGCTATTTCAAATTGGTTGTTGTAGGTTCAAGAATACAATTTCAAATTGTTCACTGGGTACAGACAAAGGCAAGATGCACTACAACAAGAACATTTATTCCAGCAACATCAGGAGCGGCAACATAAACTTAGCAGAGTCAGATTTCTCTGATATCATCATTTCTCTTTTTTTAAATCTATGTCTTGGAGAGTGGTTAACTTCACCTTCCCCTGCTCTAAATTGTAAACCACCCGGAGAGTGCTTGTAGCGCTATGGGGCGGTATATAAGTAAAAAAAAAAACAAAAAAAACCTATGTTCCCCAGAAGCCTGCCTTCAGGCAGTGTGAACCTCCACTTCTAATTTACAGGAAGCCAGGAAATTACATGGCTGTTGTTTTTGCCCATTTATTCTGCTATACACACACTCAAGTTTGCCTTTCTCGTAGTGCCTCCATCTCCTTCTCCTCTCTTCTGAGATCCCTCTTTTTGTATCCTCCTGAACTTCTCCCCATCTCAAGTCATGTACTCTTCTTCCATGAACTTTCCTCCCAAAGTCACCCCACTCAGAGTCCCCCTGCACATTCATAGCTGGGTTGGTGAATACAATGTCTGTTTGGAGACACACTCTGAATTATATTCAGTGTGGGCAATGTTGGTGGTGGGTGATAGCCTTCTAGTAATGCTTGTGGACTTTTCGGGAACATCTGAGTGCCATTACCAGAAGCAAAAGGTCTTGCTTGGTTTTATCCTTTCTCTTCTTAAAAACTGTGCCAGGGGGTGGGGAATGGCAACCAAGATTACTTCACTAATTATAAATGGTGGCATAGTTACCTTTGGATTTTATTGTAGATGGCATTTTCTTTTGGTTTTCACCCCTATAAAATGCAGTTATCAAATACATGTTAGCAAGGACACATTTCAGCCAGCATCACATCTCAGAAAAATGATCAATTATAAATGTTGCATTACCTATTTTCACCTTAATATCAACAATAAATGCAAATCTGAACTTAGTTTCTAAATGTATATTCCACAAAGACTGACATAGCTTATGTAGGAAGCAGATTTTTCTCTAAGGACCATCTCCACTGGTAACATAAGAAGGCCTTGAAATGTATTTATAGTTACCAAACTATGGCCCTGAACTGTTCTTACTAAACATACCAGAGCTTTTAAAAAGTTATGATTGAGATGCTAAAAGATATTAGTAGAAGATCCAATTTTCTTTTTCCTATTCCTTTACTTTTATTCCCTGATGTGAATATGTATTGCTGGGATTCAACAGTTGGGCTCCCATAGCTGCACCCCTGTTTCCATGTAAATTTTGTGGTTTTAGCTACTTTTGATCTACCTGGATACAAATCCAGTCACCATTCTGTGCTGCTAAATGAATGCTGTTGTGTTTCCAAGGATCACCGACTCCTTGGAATCTGCTAAACAAGCTGGAATCATTTTGATCTTTTGTGTATCACTTGTGTATGGTATTGCTGCTGCTGTGAAACAGTGTTACAAGAGGCAATGATGTAAAGACTTAACTATTCTATTAAGTGTATTGTGACAAAAGGCAAAAAAAAAAAAAGGCGCGCCAATCTATTTTAACGTGTGAGGGCTGATTTTGGCAAGATATATTTTATCTGACAGAAGTTCGACTGACTTACAGCACATAAAATAATGGTGTCTCCCAACACTGAAGCACATTCTATGAAGCCATGTCTAGGGAACATTTGGACTATTGTAACCTTCATGAATTGCCTCCCCTCCATAGGTAGATATTCTCTTTTCCTGCTTCAGTGCTCTGTGCCACAGACCAGGCTACTCTGGAGGTTCCCTGAACCTCATGAGGGTTTTTTGGGGGGAGAGTCAAGTAAAATATATGTGGTATGTAATTGGGGGGGGGGAGAGAGATGTTAATGGGTAGGATGAGATTAACTAAATAAAAGCAGAGTTCACTGAAGCCAATATACCTATTCTTTAAAAAAAGTGACAACCCAAAGGGGTACCTCACATCTACTACTGGCAAAACATGCACACCTCCTTGGTGAGGCAGGACTGCCAAGCAGAGACATGACACTGCCAAACGCCGCATATCCAGTTTCAAGAATGGGAATTCAAGCATCCTCTTTGCCAGTTCTAAGAAGGCGCTGTGCCATCCCAGCCAGCAGTACAACTCCTTTCAGTGAAGGAATCTTAAGTTATAATGGCATGTACAGAGTCTGCTGCTTGACAAGAGAGTGTCTAGATATAGTGATCTATATATAGACATATATGTTCTTCCAAAAAAGTGCAGGTGCATTAAAATGAATTGAAGGAGAAAACAGGTGAAAAGCCTGATGCCAGCCAATGTTTATGTTCAAAAGCTAGCAAATACAATCAGGAACATCATGACCTGGAGGCCCCATGTTTTTTTAATTAAAGGCAAATAACCCATCTACAGAAAGAAAATGGAAAAAGACAAATGCAAATTTAGAAAATAATATTGAAGAACTACTTCTACTAGATGACTTCTCTTCACTTAAACACATCTTTGAAGTATAATTCAGACTTATTTTCTCCACAAGCCAGCCTTTCAAACAACTCATTGTGGTGCTCCTTTCTGCCCATGCTAGACTGTCATGAAAGTATATTTGTAAATAAAACTGATAACAGTATTAGGATGAATGGCTGTGAATGTCTGAATAACATACATGCCAAGGCTGAGAGCTAGGATGATTGGCAGATGGATGATAGAATGCCGAGTGAAGAATTGTTTGATGGGTGTGATTTGGCAGTGAGGCAGTTGATTGAGTCCGGCTGTTTTGAAAGGGAGTTAGTAAGGGACTGTTGAAGAATCAAGTAGAAAGTAGTAAAAGAGAAAGCTAATGAGAGAGGTTGTCTTGTGATAGAGAGCTGAAAGGAATCTTATTGAGAATGTGTTGTGTTGAGTGCCTGGGAAAGCAGATATTCTGAATTTGAATACAGACAAGTTAATTTTTATTTTACAGGTTATTGGACATGCACCAGCCCTTTACCTGAGGTACCCTAGAACAGCGATGGTGAACCTATGGTATGCGTGCCACAGCCAGCACACAGAGCCCTCTCTGCAGGCACGCAAGCCATGTTGTGGGATTGCTATTCCACTCCCCCCCCCCCGCAGCCAAACCTGAGAAGGCGGCGGGCCAGGATCTGGAGCAGCTGGTGCTGGCGGCAGATCCAGAGTGGGGTTTCAAAGCACCTCTGTGCCCGGGATTCCCCCTTCTGCCACCGCCCGCTGGTTGTTTGTTTGTTTTTTTTCCAATTTGGGCACTCAAGCCCAAAATGGTTCACCATCACTGCCCTAGAATATACATTTCTCTTCCTACCATTTACCTATGTAATCGGAACAAACAATTTTGTTTGTTCAGAAAAAGACCCTCTCATAATTTAATTTTATAAGCAATTTAAAAGATCTTAAGCAGTCTATAGGTAGAAATCATCACAACTAGATTGTGCAAGGCTACATAATATCAGAGGGAAGACATTATAGCAGAAATAAACCTTTTCACCCAGCATTTGAATACAAAATAAATACTAAACTGGGGCAAGAAAGGAGACTCTAGCTGAGACACAGTAAAAAGGGCAACCCTAAATACTTGGTAGATTGTTTTGGCTGTGATTGTCCTTTGGACTAAAGCTTAATCCACTGACACTAAGGAGCGATGGATAGGTTCAAGGTGAAGGTACCAGAATACTGCCTGCAACTACTTGGGGAAAGTGTGACCCACTAGTGTGAAAATTAGTGGGAAGGGATGCCTCCCTAGGGAGGAAAGTTGCACTCATCTTCAATAAATGTGGTTGTTCCAGGTTTGGCTACACATTTGCTAAGTTGCCTAATTCTTTTTCCCAGAGAAAAGTGGTGATAAAAGTTTAAAACCTTGAGAAAAGAGAAACTGCTTGACATGGAACTGGTGGGGAAATCGGTAGCTATATAGTGCACCATTCGTCGTCATTTAGTCGTTTAGTTGTGTCCGATTCTTCGTGACCCCATGGACCAGAGCACGCCAGGCCCTCCTGTCTTCCACTGCCTCCTGGAACTGTGTCAAATTCATGTTGGTTGCTTCGCAGACACTGTCTAGCCATCTCATCCTCGGTCGTCCCCTTCTCCTCTTGCCTTCACACTTTCCTAACATCAAGGTTTTTTCCAAGGAGTCTTCTCTTCTCATGAGGTGGCCAAAGTATTGGAGCCTCTGTTTCAGGATCTGTCCTTCCAGTGAGCACTCAGGGTTGATTTCCTTTAGAATTGATAGGTTTGTTCTCCTTGCAGTCCAAGGGATTCTCAAGAGCCTCCTCCAGCACCACAATTCAAAGGCATCAATTCTTTGTGGGTCTGCTTTCTTTATGGTCCAGCTCTCACTTCCATACATCACGACAGGAAAACCCATATGTGACGGCTGCGATGACGTCACCTGCCTATCAATGGTATGCTGGAGCTCTTCTGCCTATAGCAGGGCAGGAGGTAGGACTCCAGGAGGTGGAGCTGTGTATATAAGGGGGGGAGTGAATGATGTGAGACAGTTTTGGAGAGGAAGAGTGAGAGTTGAGTTAGGGCATGAAGTACTGTGTTAGTTAAGGTCTGAGTGATAGTGTGTTTGAGGGGATACTTTATTTATGTATTGATTATAGTGATTAACTTATTTACTTGTTACAATAAACAATCATTTTCCTTTTTAAAATCCATACCTTTGTCTGAGGAGTCAGATATATGTG